TTAATTTTGTCTGGGCAAACCAGAGTTGTCTTTGTTTCCTAAGGACCCTATTCACCACCTGCTGACTCACAGGAAAGGAGGAGCAGTGTGAATTCTTGGTATCTTGTTCTCTCAGGGCCTTGTGAGGGGAAGTTAGCGAATTCTAAGGAACAGACCTGGGTTAGCTTTCCACGTCAGACCGTCCTTTATTTTCTTTAACTTTACTTTTTGTCTTTCACAAGATTAACTAAAAACACCAGTAGCCCTACTATATATAGATGATAATGGACTGAGAAATCAGAGAAACATCACACTTTACAATAGCCACAAACAACATAAAATAACTTGGGGTAACACTAACCAAACAAGTGAAAGACTTGAATAGCAAGAACTTTGAGTCTTTAAGGAAGGATATTAAAGAAAACACCAGAAAATGGAAAGATCTCCTATGCTCTTGAATAGGTAGGATCAACATATTAAGAATGGCAACCTTGCCAAAAGCAATCTACAGATTCAATGCAATGCCCATAAAAATCCCAGCACAATTTTTCACAGACCTTGATAGGACAATACTCAACTTTATATGGAAAAACAAAAGACCCAGGATAGCCAAAACAACCCTGTACAATAAAGGAACTTCTGGAGGTATCATCATCCCTGACTTCAAGCTCTACCATAGAGCTATAGTCCTGAAAACAGCTTGGTATTGGTACAAAAATAGACAGGTAGACCAATGGAATTGAACTGAAAACTCTGATATTAATCCACACACCTATGAACACCTGACTTTTGACAAAACAGTTAAAATTATACAATGGGTGGAAAAAGCATCTTCAACAAATGGTGCTGGCATAACTGGATGCTGGTGTGGAGAAGACTGCAGATAGACTTATATCTATCACCATGCACAAAACTTAAGTCCAAATGGATCAAAGACCTCAACATAAATCCAGCCACACTGAACCTCTTATAAGAGAAAGTGGGAGGTACCCTTTAACTAATTAGTACAGGAGACTGCTTCCTGAACATAATGCCAGTAGCACAGACACTGAGATCGACAATTAATAAATGGGACCTCCTGAAACTGAGAAGATTCTGTAAGGCAAAGGACACAGTCAACAAGACAAAACAGAAGCCCACAGAATGGGAAAAGATAATATGCAAATATACAAAGAACTCAAGAAGCCTGTCACCAAAACGCCAAATAATCCAAATTAAAATAGAGAGTTCTCAATAGAGGAATCCAAAATGGCTGAAAGACAATTAAGAAAGTGTTCAACATCCTTAGCTATCAGGGAAATGCAACTCAAAACAATTCTGAGATACCATCTTACTCCTGTCAGAACAGCTAAAATAAAAAACACCAATGACAATTTATGCTGGAAAAGATGTGGAGAAAGGGGAACACTCCTCCACTGCTGGTGGGAGTTCAAACTCATACAGCCACTTTGGAAATCAGTATGGTGGTTCCTCAGGAAAATGGGAATCAGTCTACCACAAGATCCAACAATTCCACTCTTAGGTATATTCCCAAAAGATGCACATCCGTGCAACAAAGACATCTGTTCAATTATGTCCATAGCATCATTATTTGTAATAGCCAGAACTTGGAAGCAACCTAGCTGTTCCTCAACTGAAGACTGGGTAAAGAAAAAAAAAACAATGGAATCTTGAAATTTGCTCAGGCAAATGGAAGGAAATAGAAGAAACCATCCTGAGTGAGACAAGCCAGTCACAAAAAGACAAACATGGTAGTTACTCAATTATATATGGATTTTAGACACAGAGCAAAGGATCACCAGGAAACAAGGAGGACCCTAACAGAAACATACATGTTCCCCGACAGAAGGGGAAAGGGACAAGATCACCTGATCTCCTGAGCAAATTGGGAGTAGTGAGGTGTGAGGGAAGAGGGAGTGAGGAAAAACAGAAGGGAAGAAGAGGAAGGGAGAGGAAAACATGAGGGAGTAGGAAGATTGAGTCAGGGAAAAAATACAGGAGAGCAAGAAAAGAGATACCATAATAGAGGGAGCCATTATAGGTTTAAAGAGAAATCCCTCACTAGGGAAATGTCCAGGGACCTACAAGAATGACCCCAACTATAATCTAAGCAATAGTGGAAAGGTTACCTTAAATGCCCTTCCCCTATAATGAGATTGATGGCTACCTTATATGCCATCCTAGAGCCTCCATCCAGTAGCTGATGGAAGCAGAAGCAGACAGACACACACACAGCTAAACACTGACCTGAACTCCTGGAATCCAGTTGCAGAGAGGGAGGAGTGTTGAGCAAAGGAAAGGGATCAAGACTAGGCTGGAGAAAACTACAGAAACAGCTGACCTGAACAAGGGGGAGCTCATGGACCCCAGATTGATAGCTGGGAAACCAGCATAGAACCGACCCAGACCCTCTGAACATGGCTCTCAGTTAGGAGGCCTGGGCAGTCTATGGGACTTCTGACAGTGGAACCAGGATGTATCCATGGTGCATGAACAGAATCCAGGAGTCCATTCCCCATGAAGGGATACTCCCTTAACCTAGAGACATGAGGGAGAGTCTAGATCGTACCCAAAAGGACTTGGCAGATTTTGATGATTCTGCCTGAAAGGCTTCACCCTCCCTGAGGAGTGGATGGGGGATAGGATGGGAGGTCCATGGGGAGCATGGGAGGATGGGAGGAAACTGGGATCAATATGTAAAATAAGAAAAAATATTTTTAAAAAGATTAATTTTATTACTATTATATATATATATATATATATATATATATATATATATATATATAAAATTTGTGTTAATATATGGTGCATGTGAGTATGAGCACACAGGTGCCTGCCACTACACACATGTTGGTCAGAGGACAACTTTCTCCCATTCCACTGTGGCAATTCTAGGGATCAAACTTGGGTTGGCAGGCTGTTTAATAAATACTTTTACTCACTAAGCCATCTTGCTGGCCCAGTTTTATCTGCATGCCCCCCCCATTCCTTTTCTTGTTTTGCTTGGATGGTTTACTTAATGCATCAGTTTGGGCAGGAAGCATTTTGGGGGATGAGTTTTGAAAGGTGGTTGGCAGTCTCTGTGTGGGCGTGGCAGTCAGAACAGATTTTCCATGCCAGAGATCTTATTATTGTACAAGGCTCAGACTGCGGCATCAGGGCAACTTGAAAGGGCAGAACAACTTCATGAAGCTCTCATTCCAAGCCTCCAATCCCAAGTTTTCATTTCAGAGAAGGGTGCCTTAGGCGCCTGGGTTTCCAAGGAGTTGCTGTAAGTTGTAAGATCACTATTAGGGGTTGGGAGGAATTAAATATTGTCTCTTCTATGGGTCACAATGGCAAAGAGAAACTTTCTTCTGGGGGTTGGCAGGGTTTTAAACTATTTTATATTTCAGTTTGTCTTTATCTTGATGTAAGTGTAAAGGTTAGCAGATTCAAAACAACAGACACAAATGACCGAGAGTGTTTACTTGTCAGCCCTGGTCCCAAGGACCATACCCAGAACTGGGGGCTCTCGCTGGTTTCTGACTGCTCTTTCAAGGTAAAGAGAATCTGAGGAGCTGTCGGGGCATTTTAAGGACCTGTGCAAACTTCTCAGTTTGACAGATGCGGGCGGCAGAGGCAGAGGCATCTTTCGCTAGGTGGCCAGCTTTGCCCACGCCATGGCCCTGGCAGTCAGTCCTCCGGGAGAAGATCTGTGACAGGCGTGTGAGCACAAGATGCTGTCTTTAGCTATCTCTGTTTTCTTTCAGTTCAAAGTGGCTGAACCTTCACAGAAGAACTCCACTTTGTTCTGACAACTTAGGCTTCCATATCCCCCAGATTGGCCAGAGAAATGACTTCTGCCTGAGGATGGGAGGTGGGGGGGAGGAGGCCTGCCTTTGACAGGGATGGCAGCTACAGTGGTTGGACACTGCCTAATTTCTGTGTCCCCTGTTAATTCCCAAACAAACCCTAGCAGGAGGCTTTGACAAGGGTCTCTCCACTTGTACCAGAGAATCAGGGCTTAAGTGGTGGGGGACTTATGGTTGTACCCAGCTAGACTGACTGGGAAGCCTGTTCTTCTGTGTATATCAGTGTGTTTGTGTCCCGGCCTATGCCCACATATACCTATATATGCACGTTTATGTGTGGTGGCTGTAGATCAAGCGCTGGTGTAGGACCTCAGGACACCATCTATGTTGTTTTTGGAGGCAGGGTCTCTCACTAGCCTGGAACTTGCTGGTTTAAATAGACTAGCTGACAAGCCAGGTAGCCCCGGGGATCCACTTGTTTTTATTTCCCCAACACTAGGATTGTAAACAAGTGTGTGCTTTATGTATGTGGGTTCTGGAGGTTGAATATAGGTCTTTATGCTTGCATGGTAAGCACTTTATGGATTGAGCTGTCTCCCCAACCCCAAAGCATGTATGTTGTGAGAAATCATTCAGCCAATAACTTTTGAGGTGCTGACTTCTTTTTGGCGTGGTCTCTGGTGCTGTGTGGCCTCAAATCAGATTTGGTATTCAATTGAATTGAAGCATATTAGTCAGTGATAACTGAACAGGGAAGACCCCAGGAAGGAATCCTGACCACGCAGCATCGTGCAGGAGCTTGCAGAAGACCCACTCCTGGGCACCACTCATGGTCATCATGTCCTTCTGATGCAGGACCAGTCCATGGACGGTGTGAGGCAGGTAGTCCTAGTCTTCCCAGAATGGAGATGGGAATGCAACCCAAAGTGGGCGGTGAACTCCTTTTAAAGGTAAATACTGGCACAAGACAGTCAACGGGACTTAAGGGAAAGTAAGGGGAGGGAGGGTAAGAAGAGGGAGAAAGAGCAAGCCAGAGAGAGAGAGAGAGAGAGAGAGAGAGAGAGAGAGAGAGAGCATGCTTCTCAGTGCATGCTTGGCATCTGAGGCCATGTCCAGAAGGGGCCTATACCTCAAAAGCTATTGGCTGAATGAGTTCCCACAGTGCCTGAACTTTCATCATGCATGCTTTATATCAGTCTCGATTCACATTAGGAGAACACACATGTCCATTGATGAATTACTTTATTTGACAGGCACGAAGTTGGATAAGAAGGGGAGGTAGATGTGGACAATCTGTCAGTCCAAGGTAGTAGAATGGTGGGAAAGATCAGTCTAACACATCAGGCTTTGAGTCTCTGAACAGAAGACTTCTAAGGAAGAATAGGGATGTTTTCTTTTTTCCTGGGGGGACTTAAATGAGATACATTCTCTCTGAGCAGCTGGGTGTCTTTCCTCTGCACAAGTTTTTGGCATATTTTTGGTACTTATTCCGGTGGCTATGCCAGTTCCAGTAAAAACATATAGTAGCATGTTTATCACACTGGCACAGTTGTTTCCTACAGGAGTCCTGGTTTTCTGAAATTAGAGAAAGTAGACACTGAGCTGATGGTTGTTAATATCCTGTGGCTGCTTGTGGGGACCTGCCTGTTCTGATAAAATTGCTAGAGCTGCTGGGAAGGCAGAACCTCATCTGATGGGGACACAGACGCCAAGCCTGGCACTAATAGAGGTTTGCTTCTCTTCCTAGACACCCTCTTCTAGTTTTCATTGTTTTGTTTTGTTTTCTTTTTTTGTTTGTGTTTTGTTTTTGTTTTTGTTGTAAAATACAGGGTCTCATGTAGCTCAGGCTGGCCTTGAAATCTATGTAAGTGGGAATGGACTTCAACTTCTGATCTTCCTACCTCCACGTCCTGATCTCTGGGATTCCAGGCATGCTAAATAACACAGTGCTAGGGATGGAAGCCAGGCACTATTGTATGCTAGTCTAGCACTCTGCCAACTAAGCTATATCTCTGCCCCCCCCCACCTTCTTGCTAACAGACCTATTTGTGTGAAGAAGCCCAGCCTCACTGGCCTTGGGATGGATGGAACTGGTGAATACCGGTGTGGTCCACCCTCCCTTTCTCCTAGGCCGGTATTGGTCTTAAGGTAGCATGCAGCTGTATTCTGAATACAGTGCCAAAAGAGCAGGTCAATAGAAGTTGCTGGGAAGTGATCGTTTCCCTTCTCCAGTGTGTCTTAGTGAGAGAAAGCCACCTGTGGTTGGAGGCTGGGGAGATCTTGGAGCTATCCTGTGTCTTATAGTCTAAGCACAGATGTTGGCAACAGCTCAGAGCTCAGGAGCAGGCCTGACCCTGGGCTTAGAAGTTGCCAGACTTGGCACCACACTGCTCTAGAATTCTCACAGGTTGTGACCTTTCCAATCTGACCATGGCCCTTTCACACCATGTGCCACTCCCCTGCAGGCAGCATGGCCCACTGGCTCCCCCTCCCTCCTGCCCATCCGCCCAGCCAGGATGAGCTCTCTTTTTGCAAACATCTTTCTTGCTGTTTTGGCAAATAATAGGTCCCTGTTGCTGTCGTCCAAAAAAACCTCTCGACAATGGCCAGGACGACCTGGCTTGACCTTGTCCCTTCCTTGTCTCCCTGCTCAGACTCATCCTCACATGCCCATTGGGCAGCACAGAGTGGCCTGTGGTCCTCTTTGACCCTTTGACCATGCTGTGCCCTGTGTGTGCGGTGGCCCAGCCTTCCTCTCTGGCTGTATGCCTCACTGACTTTCAGGATTCGGCTTAGATAGTGCTGCTTGCAGGATCCACCTCAGGCCCCAGGTGTGCAAAGGTTCTTTCTGCCTTCCCGTTGGAATCTTCTGTGAGGGTCTTAAAGCAGGGATAAATTCCCCTTCTCCTCCAGGAAACTGCCCAGGATTTGTATGCTCAAAAAAAAAAAAAAAAAAAAAAAAAAAAAAACCACCTGAGGGAAGCTTGCAGGCATCTTGGGTATTTCTTACCAGAGCAGGTGATTTGGCCTTCTTTGTAGTCGAAATCGTAGGTCAGAAATTTTGTGCCACAGCCAAGTTCCTCCAGACGGGCATAGCAACAGTCATGCTTAAAGCAGCACCTGGGTGGGGGACACTGGTTGAGGCTGCCTTCTCTCATCTCTGCAGTCCTGGTGCCTCAGTACTTCCCTTGACCCTGGACCCTGAGCAGAGACTCACTCTAGAGCAGAGTTCCCAGTTTTGCTGGTGGTGATCCACCAGGACACCAAGGCAGAGGATTCCAGGTCTGCCCTAGTCTGGTCTCCCCCAGGGCGCTGAGACAGAGGGTATCGACTCCGTCCTAGTCCCATCTCAACTAGAGTGAGCAAGAGATAGGGTGTCCTTACCAATCTGTTTCATCTATGGGGGTTCCTTTGCCACCCACACCACAGTGGCAACCATAGAAGGCATATCTGATCTCAGGTCTCTGTCCCGTCTTTAGCCAGATCATTTGCCAAAACTCGACAAGGCTCCCTTGGACCTGGATTGGGCCTGAAAGGAAATGGAGAAATGGCTGAGGAAGGGCAGTGAACCCTGTGCCCCTCCCCTGCATTAGCGTCTCTCTACTACCTTCTCTCCCCACAAATGGATGCCTTCCTCTTCCCACTGTGACAGGGCTGGGGCAAGGGAAAGTAAAGCTGGAGGATGGGGTGTCTCGCTCCTCAGACCCCCACCCTGCTGAGTTCAGAGTCAGCTCTTACCAAAGGCCATGATCAAGACTGCTAGCAGTAGGAGGACCTTCATGTTGTCAGTCTGTGAAGAACAGTGCAGAAGGACTGGCCTGGGCATTTCCTCCCAGGAGTCTCAGCCTCTGCCCCAGGCCCTGCTCTGCTGTCTGACTTAGCAACCCTGGAGCAGAGATGTGCTCTTGCATGGGGTTAAGACAGAATATATGGAGAGTGGCTTCTGACAGTGTGTCACACATGTCACCTCTTGTCCCTTCCTGACTTTATGGAATATGATACATTACCGGGACCATCCTTGCACCTCCTTCATTCCTCCTGGGAGACTGGACTTGTTCCACAAATTTGAGAGGTTGAAGGCAAATCCTCTCCTCATTAGATACTCCACCTGCTTCCTTACATTAGATTCAAGGCTTGAGAATCCCATCTATGGAGTCTCATTGCCAACGTCTTTGTTTCTAGCTAAAACTGCACATTCTCTTTGCAAGCCTTTCTAACCCTGTGTAGATCACACATATACACACATGCTCTTGATTCTCCCTCAGCACCTTCACAAACCCTACAAAATACTTGCATACAAATACTGCCTAGTACATGTTTACACGATGGAGGCTCACATGCACACGCATGTCCATGTGCACACACATGCATGCGTTCACCTATACAACCACTCAAATGCAGCCACAAGGCAGGAGTTTCTGGGTACTTACCTCTCAGATGATGCTGCAGTTTCTTGTTCAGGGGCCTGTCATGTTTTTCCTGAACTCCAACTGTCTTTAAATAGTGTTTCCTTCTGCAGGGTTGGGGGTTGGTGAGGCACGGGGATGGAGATCTGGGTGTGGCCAATAATGGCCTCATAGATAGACATACCCAGTGCCCTTGGAAATCCCCTTTTTTCTCCCTCATCAACTGGCAGGAGGGCCATGACGGCTGGAAAATCCTTCATACCTTGGGTTGACACCATAATAAATCCCTGCTGATTTTGAAACCTCTCTGGTTTCTGGGAAAATGGTTCAGTTCCTGGAGAAGGACCTTTCCATAATCCAATCTGGATGTGGCCAACAGGTCACCTCCCAGCAGCCACATCCAGGAGTGGGCAAGGACTTTGTCCAGGGCTGGGACTGAGAGTGTTCACAATGTTCCTTTCTCCTGATCACTTGTGACATTTGGGCATAGGAAAGGGGACACTGAATCATCAGTAGTGTTTGTTCATTTCATCCATCCACCATTCAGTCAGTTTCAGAAGGTACATGCTAAGCCCCGTGAAGAGTCAAGGCTGCACAAACTTCTTGAGGGTGATGAGGATAATGCAGGAGTCCAGTTCTTGGTATCCCCACAGTCCACTCCAGCATAGGGAGGATTGGATGGGGTGGATTCTGTGCCCCACACTGCCCAGCACCTCTATATTCTCTTCTTCCTCCCCTCTTCGGTCCTCCTTATCTTTCATCCCATATGATCTTCTCTGTGTTATGCATCTGTGTTGTTTCTGTGCGTGCAGGTGCATGTGTGTGCAGCCATGTATGCATGTGTGTGTAGCTGTGTGTGCATGAGTGTGTGCATGAGTGTGTGCAGCTGTGTGTGCATGTGTTCACCTGTGTGTTCAGCTATGTGTACACACGTGTATGCAGTCATATGTGCAGCTGTGTGTGCATGTGTGTGTGCAGTCATGTATGCAGCTGTGTGTGTACACGTGTGCACATGTGTGTGCAGCAGTCATGTGTGCAGCCGTGTGTGTAGCTGTGTGTGCAACTCTGTGTGCAGGTGTGTGTAGTTGTGTGTTGTGCAGCTGTGTGTGTACACATGTGTACAGCTGTGTGTGGACATGTGTGTGCATGAGTGTGAAGTGTAGATGACAACCTAGGACATTGTTCTGCTGCTGTCAACCTTGTTTTTGGACATAGGGCCTCTCGTTGACCTGGACTTCACAAAATAAGCCAATCTATTTGTCCAGCCAGTCCCAAGATCACCTCCCCCTCCCCAGCACTGGATTACAAATTTGTGCTATCACACCTGGCTTCTCTACATCAGTTCTGGGGATTTGAACTCATGTCCTTGGGACTGCACGGCAAGCACTTTGCCAACTGAACCATCTCACCATTCCCATATGAATTTTAAAGCCTGGAAAAAAATCCAGCAGATGCTTTTGATTTTTTTCCACCAAACTGCGGCCACCACTGTCCCTCCTCGTCTTCACCTGTTTGGCAGTGCACTTCTTCTTTTTTTTTTTTAATCTTTTTTTAACATACTAAACCCAATTCCCCCTCCCTCCCCACCTCATGCTTTCCCCACCTTCTCTTCACCCCACCCCCATCTGCTCATCAGAAAAGGTAAGGCCTCTCATGGGGAGTCAACTAAGTCTGTCCCATCACCATGTTGATGCAGGACCAAGGCTGTCCACCTGTGTCTAGGCTGAGCAAGGTATCCCTCCATAGGAAAAGTACTCCAAATAGCCAGTTCATATACTAGGGATAGATCCTGGTCCCACTGCCAGTGGCCCCACAAACTGCCCAAGCCACCCATTGTCGCCTGTATTCCGTGATTGGGGGAGGCTAGCTCAGTCCTATGCAGGTTCCCCTGCTGTTAGTGCGCAGTCAGTGAGGTCCCACTGGGTGGAATCAGCTATTGCTGTTAATATCCTCATCTTGACCCATTTGCTCATTTCATGGCTCCTACCTCTCTTCGACTGGATTCCGGTATCTCAGCCCAGTGGTTGTCTGTGGATCTCTGCATCTGCTTCCATCAGTTACTGGATGATGGTTCTATGATGACAATTAGGGTAGTCCTCTATCTGATGACAGGGGAAGGCCAGTTCAAGCACCCTCTCCACTATTGCTTAGAGTTTTATCTGGGGTCATCCTTGTGGATTCCTGGAAGTTTCTCTAGCACCAGATTTCTTCCTAACCACATTATGGCTCCCTCTATCAAGTTATTTCTTTCCTTGATCTTCCTCTATGTCCTTCCCTCAACTCAACCATCCTGTTCCTTCATATTCTCCTCCCTACTCCCATTCCCTTCTCCCATTCCACCCTCTCCCTTCCCTCCCACACTTCCAATTTACTCAGGAGATCATATCTATTTCTCCTTCCTAGGCTGATCCATGTATGTCTCTCTATGTGTCCTTTTTGTTACCTGGCTTCTCTGGAGTTGTGGACTATAAGCTGGTTATCCTTTGCTTTATACCTAATATCCACTTAGGAGTGAGTACATTCTATATTTGCCTTTCTGGTTTTTTTTTTTCTAGTTATGTCCATTTGCCTACATATTTCAAGATATCATCATTTGTTTGTTTGGGTTTTTTGTTTTTTGTTTGCTTATTTGCTTGCTTGCTTTTGAGTAGTACTCCATTGTGTAAATGTACATTTTCTTTATCTATTCTATAGTTGAGGGGCATCTAGGTTGGTACCAGATTATGGCTATTATGACTAATGCTGCTATGAACATAGTCAATCAAATGTCCTTGTGGTATGATTATGCATACTTTGAGTATATGCCTAAAAGTGGTATTGCTGGATCTTGAGGTAGATCGATTCCCAATTTTCTGAGAAACCACCAAAGTTATTTCTAAAACAGATGTAAAAATTTGCATTCCCACCAGTAATAGAGGAGTGTTCTCCTTTCTCCACATCCTTTCCAGCATAGGCTGTCATCAGTGTTTTTGATTTTGGCCATCCTGACAGGTGTAAGATAGCATCTCAGAGTTGTTTTGATTTGCATTTCCCTGGTGATTAAGAGTATTCAGCAATTCCTTCAATGTCTTTCAGTCATTTGAGTTTCTTCCGTTGAGAATTCTCTGTTTAGATCTGTACCTCATCTTAATTGGATTATTTGATATTTTTGGTGTCTAGTTTCATGAGTTGTTTGTATATTTTGAAGATCAGCCCTCTGTCAGATATGGTGAAGATCTTTTCCCATTCTGAAGGCTGCCACGTTGTCTTGTTGACTATGTCATTAGCCTTACAGAAGCTTCTCAGTTTCAGGAGGCCATATTTATTATTTGTTGCTCTCAGTGTCTGTGCTACTGATATTATATTTAGGAAGTGATTTCCTGTGCCTATGTGCTCAAGAGTATTTCCCACTTTCTCTTCCATGTGATTGGATTCATGTTAAGGTCTTTGATCCAGTTGGACTTGGACTTGAGTTTTGTACATGGTGATAGATATGGCTCTATCTGCAATCTTCTATACACCAGCATCCAGCACCATTTGTTGAAGATGCTTTTTTATTCTATTGTATAATTTTAGTTCCTTTGTCAAAAATCAAGTGTTCATAAGTGTGTAGATTAATATCGGGTTCTTCAATTCTTCAATTTTATTCCATTGGTCCACCTTTCTGTTTTTATTCCAATATCAAGCTGTTTTCATTACTATAATTCTATAATAGAGCTTGAAGTCAGAGATGGTGATCCTTCCAGAACTTCCATTCATGTACAGGATTGCTTTGGCTATCCTGGGTTTTTTGTTTTTCCATATGAAATTGAATATTGTTCTTTTGAGACCTGTGAAGATTTATGCTTGGATTTTGATGGGGATTGCATTGAATCTATAGATTACTTTTGTAGGATTGCCATTTTTATTAGTTAACTCTACCTATCCAAGAGCATAAGAGACCTTTCCATTTTCTGATATCCTCTTCAATTTCTTTCATCAAAGACTTAAAGTTATTGCCATACAGGTCTTTCACTTGTTTAATTAGTGTTATCCCACGATATTTTATGTTGTTTTTGGCTATTGTAAAGGGTGATGTTTCTCTGATTTTCTTTCTCAGCCCATTTATCCACCCCATTTATCATCTGTATATAGGAGGCCTACTTACTTTTTTATTTTATTTTTTTTTAGTTTGCCTTATACCCTTCCACATTACTGAAGGTGTTTATCAGCTGGAGGAGTTCCCTATTAGAATTTTGGGGGTCATTTATACATATATACACTATCCTATCATCAGCAAATAGCAAAAGCTTGACTTCTTTCTTTCCAACTTGTATATTCTTTATCTCCTTATCTCCTTTTGTTGTTTTATTGCTCTAACTAGAATTTCAAGTACTATATTGACTAGACATGAAGAGAATGGACAGCCTTTGTCTTGTTTCTGGTTTTAGTGGGATCATTTTCAATTTTTCTTCATTTACTTTGAT